TTTCAATTATTTTTTAATGTATTTTTTAATATTTATCTTAATTTAAAAACAAAATTGATCTCTTTTATCCTTTTTCTTCCCCAAACATAAAATACATTTCGTGAGTTGTTAAAAATTTATTAGATTATTTGTTATAATTGATAGACTCCAAAATATCCAAGTATAAAAGGTAATAACCAATAAATATTGGACAATTTACCAAAGAGTATTAATCATGAAATGCCACTCTTATTAAGGGCTTGTGCTTTTTTGAAAAATATTTTTTTATATGAGATTTTATAAATATCTCTTAAAAGAGAAATATTATTACCATCTTGCACGTGGATTAATTGATATATGTTGTTTCAAGTTGATTAATAATAATTTTGAGTTCGAATCTTGAATAAGTAATTTTATTGTTACCCAAAAACAAAATAGTTTTATTGAAAACTTCATATCCATTGCGATCGATACTGGATGGTTTATAAAAAAATTAATTAATTATATTTGGATATAAAACTTTACAAGTACGTTTTTATGTTTGAACAATTTATTTATGTTATAATAAGATTTCTGTATCAAAAAATTAAAAATCGTTTTATAAGCACACATATCTACTAAAAAACACATTTTATGTTTATTTTTGGCTTCAGATTTTTTAAAAAAAAAAAAAACTATTAATTGTACAAAAAATTCTCGCAAAGAATACACGAATAACTGGATATCAACAAATGAAAAAAATTCCATCCATCATTTCAGCCAAATCCTAAAAATTTCGGACTATACTCGTTAGTTTATGAGATTTATTAATCTCTTTTAATAGAAAAATAACTTGCATCATACCATATAAATAAATTGAGTGGATCTGATTACCAAAAAAAAAAAAAAAATTGTGTGTTTCCTATTATTTTTAAAAAAGAAAAAGAAAAAAGAATGACACAATTTTTTATGCCTCACTGACATAAGATAATTATCTCATGTAAAAGGAGATAATTTAAACCATTAGTTTATTGTTATGTATGCAAGTTTTATTTTATCAATTTTTCGTTCCTTAAAAAACTGTCCAAACACATTAAAATATAACAAATTAAAGTACTTAATTTATAGGAAAAATTAATTATACAAAAAAAGCACGACCAAGTATTTGCACGTAATTGAGAATGTCTTCTGCACCTAACTCTGTCTGAGTCGTCATTTTTATTAAATTTGATCAAAGCAAATCTTTCTAACAAAGGAGCAAGATTTGTCCAGAAGCTCACCTACCAAAAGTCCCCTGAACAACAATTATATGTGGGCAGTGGCCACTGATTAGAACGATTATATATAATATAAAAAGGGATTAATATTTCATATATACATAAAAATATCGTGTGATCCATATACAAAGAGAACTTGGGTCTCACGTATTTTTATATATGTAAATGAGATAAACTTGTTTTCTATAATATATATGAAACAATTATCTCCCACACACACACATAAAAATGTGTGGGATTCATGTGAGAAAAGGAAAAAACATAGATTCCACGTATTTTTATATATGTATAGGAGATAAATCTATCTTCTTCAACATAAGAAATATTAAATATATCTAATAAATCAAAGCATTTGAATATAAGTAATATCAATAGTTAAGATTTAATTTACATTGATATAAAATAATCTTGATATTTCTCATTCTAATATTAAAATTTATTATTATTTTTTAGCTCAGCGAATAAATGGTGTAGGACCACATGCTACCGTGAAAGCTGAAACTGCAGTTATATCCAACTACTTAAATTAAGCTCCATCATCAATTAATTAATTAATTAATCACTGGCAACATTTGGCCGCTGATAAATTTTTGTATAATATCGCATGTTCAATTTAAATGTATTAAGTCAATAAAATATTAATGTAACATTAATTTTTATTATATAAAGGAGATGATTATACTTACAACCAATGTTGTTAAAATAAAGATCTTAAATAAATCAGAAGGGAATTAAAAAATTGTAAAACGTAAAATCGCAATGTAAGAAAATCGTAAAAAAATGTAAAAACGTAAAAGTGTTTGAAAATTAGTAAAAACGTTTTGATAAAAAAAAATCGTAAAAATGTAAAATTGTAGTGATAAATCGAGTTTTTTTTTTTAAATCGAGTTTTTAACAACAATGCTTACAATCTATTTTCGTTTACAACCTTTTACAACCATATCTTAACCGTTGATTTTCGTCAATCAACAATTGTCATTTATTGCGAATTAATAATTAATTAATAAATTTGATTTGTGAAAATCTTAACCGTTGATTGACGGAAATCAATGTTAAGATATGGTTGTAAAAAGTTGTAAACAAAAATAAGTTGTAAGTATAACCTTCTCTTTAAATAAATATTATGTTTGTTAATTTTTATTTCATATACTTAAATTAATTATACCAGATTCCTACACTAGCCATTCTTAACCACTTAACTATACATAACGAATCAAATGATGAGTTGGTGTCAGGAAATTGAGTAGACGAGGATAAGAACATTTGTTTGATTCTCTCTAGTATCATCTTTGAGAAGGATTTAAAATATTAATCTTGAAACTTGTCTCAAATCGAACTTGTTACGAAACAATGAACGGAGCGAAATATCTCAAAAAAAAAACTATACATAATGAAAATGACAGTAAATAAACTTTTGCAGGGTTATAAAGGATTGATTATTATCTTAAATTACTTAAAAGCATTTGTGACGGTGGGAGGATTCGTTACACACTTGATAAAGCTTAAAATGTTCGAAAGTAAGGAAATTTCGTAGCTTGGCTTTCACTTTCGAAGGGTCAAAAGATCAGCAAACCCTACCATGAAATGACATACAACTTTTTTTGCGTACAAAAAAAAAAAACTACTTTTCTCACACCAAATATATAAAAAATTCTCATGTAATGCATGTGACTGATCGAGTGATATAGTATGTAAAAAAATTGAAATTAATAGTTCATTAAAACTATTTTTTATTTATTTGTGTAACTCTTTAAACTGATAGCACACATTACCACATATTAGTTAAACTCTAACTTTAAAAGAAAATAATCTTCTTTTACACAAGGAATAGGAGTTGAATCTATAGAATTATCTTAATCTCACAACATCCTTACCACTCGTCAGTGATATTACTTATTTGACATAACTCAACTGCATTTGACAAATCTTTTTTAAAAAATAAAGAAAAAATCCTTGCTTCAATTGACTTTGAATCTTTAAAAACAAAATGTTGACTGAGAAAGTTAGATGAACCTTAGATATTAAGCAAAAGCAAAAACGCGTGTAAATCTAATAGGTGTTAAAAGTTCGTAACTTATGTCCTTTTAGTAATTTATAATCATGTACTAAAGATAATATATAGTTAATTATAATATTAAAGTTATATTTTTTTTATTTTTCACTTCAGCAAACAGTGTTTGAATAGAAAAAAAATACAACTTTAATATTATAACTATGTACTACCCTTAATACATAATTATAAATTGCTAAAAAGACAATAAGTTGGACAAATCATTTCCCCATCTTCTAGTCCCCCATCTAATAGTCAATACTGAATAATTAAGAATGTCTACGAACTTTTGTACCAAAGAAACCAAAGTATGGGGAAAAAAGGACTCTTAATCATTTAAGAAAGATTTAAAATTCAGTTGATCATTTAATTAATCAATAGTATGATGATTGTTATAATACTAAAATTGTCAAAGATTAAGGTTTGATTATTAGTCATTTGGGTCTTACTATTTTTACTCGTATGATGCTAAAATTAACTAAAGAACTGAAGCTTCTGACCTTACTGAAATCAGACAAGCCAAGAAGTTTCCCACTTACTTATCCTGAACGCAATAGCTGTAGGTAACATTCAGCCAGAAAAGCCCGAAAATGAGCCATTAAAAACTTGTCGGTGCTTGCCTTGCGACATTCACATTTCACACGACAAAGTAAAACCCGCGTTGAGATAAGATAATGAATTGCAGAATGTATTATTATTATTTTGGTTGCATGAACTTGCAAAAGTTACCTCACCAAACAAATATTCTTAGCCGTATTTTGTCTGTTAAAAGCAAAGTCAATTAGGTATGACTAAATAAGATAATGCTTGTTTTGGCTTTTTAGAATCTTTGATTTCATCGGTCAATTTTGCATTTTGCTTTGCTCTATCGCAGTGTAAAATAGTGACCAAAGTGCTACTGTTCATCAATTTTTTTACCTAAATATCACGCAAACAGTCTTATTTTTCAATCTGCCACGAGGACAAGTTCATTACCCGGTTTAACGAACTCGGTTTGCTGACGTGTCACATTTCTAATGGATAACAAGTATTATATTAAAAAAAAAGGTTTGAAAGTCGCTACATAGGATAGCGAACTTAGTTAAAATTAAGTTCGCTACCTCGTGTAGTGAATTTGGTGTCCACTAGAAACGTAACACGTCAGCAAACTGAGTTTGGTACACCGGATACCGAATTCACCCTCGTGATAAATTAGAAAATAAGACTGTTTGCGTAACATTTAAATAAAAAAAGTTGAGGAAGAATAACATTTTGCTAAATGTTCCTCGCATTGTATCGATAGCATGAAAAATATCACACATCAAAGCGTTATATAGTGGGTCCCCTCATGGAAGAAAGTAGAACCAAACAATTGTACACACTTTGAAAAATCAGAGCAGGGGTGGCTGGATGCAGAACAAGTCGTCGGGTTCATAAAACAATGACGCGGATTTTCACTTTATTATCTTTGAATTGATTGAATCAAATCATATACCGATAACCCCATTTTTCTCAACCTCATAAATGAGAACACGAATTATTCAAGACAGTTTTTTGAAAGCTCGAATTATCACCAATTATGGCCCATGCATTTATGATTTGTCTATAGTATAGTCTACGTGTTAGGTTACCTACCGAGCCAAATTGCCTCGCGACACATTTGACATTGACAACCATGGTTAGGGACTACTATATATATGGAACTTCCATAAACTGATAAAACACACTAAAACAAAACAAAGAGCCTAAGTAAGTTACCTAGAGGGTTTAAGCGATGGCTTCATTGTGTTCTAGATTTACGATAAATTTGGCTCTCTTTGTCCTCATATTGGGGAGTGCCAATGCACAACTTTCTACAAACTTCTACTCTAGTTCTTGTCCAAAACTCCTTTCCACCGTGAAATCCACAGTAGAATCCGCCATATCAAAGGAGGCCCGCATGGGTGCTTCTCTCCTCCGCTTGTTCTTCCATGATTGCTTCGTCAATGTAATTAATTCATTTATATCCACTTTCTCACACTTTCCTAGCATGCATCAATTAATTTTATGTGAAACAATAACTAGTACATTAAAATTGTACACATCATTGTCCTGTGCAATATTTCTTCTTTAATCTTCCACTTTTCATATATAATCATGTCACGCGAGGAAGTCACAAAAGAGAATAACACTCTTTAACTAACAAATTTAGAGAAATTATTAAGTGACAACCTTTAAGAATATTATTGGTGAGGATTATTTATCATGTTAATTAATTATAGACGACACTTAATTTGTTGCAGGGATGTGATGGTTCAATTCTACTTGATGACACATCAAGCTTCACAGGAGAGAAGAATGCAAACCCCAACAGGAACTCTGCTCGTGGATTCGATGTCATTGACAACATCAAATCAGCCGTAGAGAAAGTGTGCCCAGGAGTTGTTTCCTGTGCTGATATCCTTGCCATCACTGCCAGAGACTCCGTTGAGATTGTAAGTGCTCAATCAACCAAAACCATATCATAGCAATAATCTCATATACACTACTAGAAAAAAATCTGTGTAGCGACCGAATTTTAATAAAAATCCTCTCGCAAAATTCGTAGCTAATTCAATTTCTCTAGCAAATTCCATTACAAACCTGGTTTGTTAGGGAATCTGCGATGGAAAATAGTTGCAATGATGAAATTAGCGACATAAATTCCATAGCAATTATGTTGCTATACATATTTTTTCTAGTACTATATATTAATTACCATAGTCAAGTAATTAAACTGAATATATATGTCGTTGATTTTTGATCATCAGCTAGCAGGACCTACTTGGAATGTGAAACTTGGAAGAAGAGACTCTAAGACAGCTAGCCAGTCTGCTGCAAACAATGGTATCCCAGCACCCACTTCTAGCCTCAACCAACTCATATCAAGGTTCAGCGCTCTTGGACTTTCCACCAAGGACTTGGTTGCATTGTCTGGTACATAAATTTTACCATATGTCACACTGATTTGCTAATTTAATACACTTTATATATCATTTTCATTTTACTAATTTGGGGTCACATCTTGGTTTGAAAATCACGACTAGGTGGTCATACAATTGGACAAGCAAGGTGCACCAACTTCAGAGCACGCATATACAATGAGACCAACATAGATAGCTCGTTTGCAAGCACAAGAAAATCAAGCTGCCCCAGGGCCTCAGGGTCAGGGGACAACAATCTTGCACCCCTTGATCTCCAAACTCCCACATCGTTCGACAACAACTACTTCAAGAACTTAGTTCAAAAGAAAGGTCTGCTCCACTCTGACCAGCAACTATTTAATGGTGGGTCCACCGACTCCATTGTGAGTGGCTATAGCACAAAGCCAAGCTCGTTTTCATCTGATTTTGTAAGCGCCATGATCAAGATGGGAGATATCAGTCCTCTCACTGGCTCCAATGGAGAGATCAGAAAGAATTGTAGAAGGGCCAACTAAGTCTGAATAAGGGTCCTACACATTTATAAATATTGTGATTGTGATATGTTTATAATAGGGTTTAGTAATTCTGCTTTTGCTATGCAACAAATTTTCTCTACCACACTTGATAATAAAATACTTTTTTTGTTTTTGAGACTCACTCGTTTTTATACAAGTGTGGCGGAGATATTTTATTTGCAATTAAAGCAAAAGGATTGAACTCTTTATAATAAGGTGTTAAAACTTGTTTTCACTTGCTTGGTAGTGGGTCCCTCATCCTTTTTATTGTGCTTTCTTTTACTTCTTTTTTTTCCCCTTTACAATATTGTACCAAAGAAGGAAGATTGGTTTGATGATCTACAAGTTCGCTCGCCATTTTCCTTAATAATGCTCCATTCGGATTCTGTTTTTGTTATGTTTCTTAATAATGTATTTGTTCCTTTCTATATTTATGATTTTCTTTATAAAAAAAATTTGCAGTTTTTTCTTTTAATTTTACAGTTTTCCCTTTTTTGGTCATAATAATAGGTCTGGTATTGAAAGTTGAAACAGACAGGGATGCCGAGTTAATGATCATTCCTCGGAGATTTACTAGGCCATATTACTAGCCATAATTAAAATTGGGCCTTGTTTAGCCAAAAACATTGGGCTTTGACATTAAGTCGTAGATTTTATGGACAAACAAAAAGGAGAAGGCCAGTATGAAGCCCAGGATAGGGCGTTGAAAAGTATTAAATATACTCAAAAAATAAAAAAATTGCCAACACCTTACCTTTAGCATGAGAGATATTATTGTTCGAACTTTCAACGCTCCAAACAAAACTCCAATTTGAAGGGTGCAAGCAAGTTCAGTTTTATCTATAAAAATAGGGATTTATTTTTCTTATTTTGCATAAGGTAAGAGCAATATTCCTACACTTACAAAAGAAAGAGAGAGGAGAGAAAATAGGAAAAAGAGAAAAAATTTAAAGTGAGTCTCACGTAAGATTTGTTTGTGTAAGAGGATTGTTTTATCTTATATAACATAAGAAAAAATAACCCTCATAAAAATAATATGAGAATATTTAATCTCATGTTGTAGAAGATATTTCTCTCATGTCATAGACCCAACACCTGGTGGGTCCCACCATGTGTTAAAAAATAAGAAATAAATAAATAAAAAGTATGTTTGTCGATGTATCTACAACATAAGATAACTCTCTCCTATTACATAAGAGAATAATTTTCCAAATAATATATTAGGCAAAACTATATTCTTTTTGTGTGCTATTGGTGTTAGAGATTTCCCAGACTAAGCTAACTTATTCCTTCTCTACTCAGATCGCAATTGCTGTGTAAACTCTTTAAAAAAAATGAAAAATATTTCTCGGGTCACATAATTAAGGATAAGATTAAAGGAAAAGTACATCGGAGATAAATTATCTCCAGTGAGATAAAGTTATTTTCAGTGAGCTCAAAATAATATCATTTTAGAGTTATAAAATTAAAAAATTTTAATGATAAAAATTAATATAACTCTACAATATATTAAAATTACAAAAATATCTTAATTTCCATCGTAAAACAACATCATTTTAAATTCACAGAAAATAACTGTTGACAAAAAAAAAAATCCTTTATTGTTGTATAAATGTATAGAGTATTATGACTTACTTCCAAATGCACATGCCTATGAACTTTTTCTTTTCTGTTCCTTTTTTTTTTTTTTTTTTATCTTCATTTGATCTTGGTCCGCCGCTAAGCTGCTCCCAAATAATTGTGTTACGGAAAAGGAGATTACTCTTGCGATTCAGATCATCTACACCTTTTACGTCCTAATCCGAAACAAATTGATAACAATCATTTTCTCTTGACTTTATCTTGCACAAGAATTTGTCCTCAGTTTATGATAATAGCACACAAAGTAGAAATGAGAGGAAATTTTTAATTCAAAAATTGATGCAATGGAGCAATCAATAATAGAGTTGATGAACAGAAAATGACGTTCTATTGAGATTGAAACAGAGCAAATTTTCTCTCATTCCTGGTTAGTTTGTTATTTTCATGAACAATTCTTAAGACAGAATAAATGAAAAGATTTTTGCCAAAATTTCAATAAAGGAGAGAAATTAGAAAATTACCAGTTTAATTAAAGGGGTTGATTCAAGTGATACATGTTTAATTTCGTTTAAGCAAGATCTTGTGTTTAAGTCTTTGTGAATACAAAAAATCTTTTTTGGAAGAGCTAGTTCCATCATGATGTAGATTAATAGATATTTCTGATTCGAACAGAATTGTTTAACGTGGAAGATATCTATAATTTGTCAAAAAAAAAAAAAGACCAGTTTATTGTGTTTTCATTTTATACTTATAAATTATGAGTAGCCCTGATGCATAATATATGTTTTGCAGTGAAAAATAATTGTGTCTGTTTGGTTTACGGAATAACTTCTCTTCCACACTTAACACAATTTACTATTTAAAAGGAAGGAGATCACAAATTGGAAACTCATGTAATTGTGGTTGTGACCAGTAAAAATCACCCCTGATTTTGTTTGAGCAAACATTGCAGTAAGAAAATCAGCTTAGTTTACATTGACAAACCCAACAATTAATTTTCATATACTATATCAGAGATCTGACAACCTTATCATTTTAAGCTTTATGCGGAAGAAGTCAAGCCAGTCCCCAACAAATGCCATGGAAGTAGGATAAACTAAAATTTCGTGGAGGTGCTATATGGAATTTTGAAATAATTTATTAGAAGCTCCCTCTGTCGTCATTTTCCCATCCACGTGGTTACCGGATAACAATTCTCTAGTAAAGTATAATTTTGTTTTCCCTTAACCATTTTTTTTGCGGAGATCATATTTTAATATAAGTAATCCCAATTGCAAACACTGACTAAAATGTTACTGTTCACCAAGTTTTTTACTTAAATGTCACGCGAACAGTGTTATTTTCTAATCTGTCACGGGCAAGTTTGCTACCCGATGTAGTGAACTCAATTTGCTGACATATCACATTTTTAGTGGATACCAAATTCGCTACACGGGGTAGCGAATTTGGCTTTAACCAAGTTCGCTATCCAATGTAGCGAACTCCATACTTATTTTTATTTTTTACTTGGTACTTGTTATCCACTAGAAATGTGACACGTCAGCAAATCGAGTTCGCTACACCGGATAGTGAATTTGCCCCCGTGACAAATTGAAAAATAATACTGTTCGCGTGACATTTAAGTAAAAAACTTAATGAAAAGTGACATTTTAGTCGGTGTTCCTCATGTTATGCTCCTTAAGTCCTTATTGTATTATTATTCAAGGACACTTTGAGCAAAACATGAATTTAGCAAGATTGCAGCTTGGACATTGGTCAACATGCTCATATTGCCTAGAAGATACATTTACAATTTTTTTATACAACAAGAATTTCAATTGTTCAAAAAAATATTATTATCTAGTTATCCTTTCAAACCATATTTAGTTATTTTAACCAACCATATTATTAAGCATCTCCACCATACTCTTCCAACAAACCTCATTTCCTCCTATTTTTTCAGAAGCTTTGAGAATAGAGTTAAAATCCCTTAAGGTGGTCCACGCCCCGTTAATAGTTTGGGCAATGTTTTCCAACTCAGACCACAAAATTCTCCTATCAATTTTTCTAGGACTACTATACACAAAAGTAATATACTCAGTCTTGTCAACATCCAAGTAAGATACTTTAGTATGAACGTATTAATGGTGACTACAGATAATCTCCACCTTCACATGTTTATCATCCCACGAAAGCCAAATACTTCCAGAAAATCCCACAACTTCCTGTTTAAAATGGTTACAGAAACCAAGCCTACTAATAATTTTAACTCTTCTAAGACCACTAATTTTAGTTTGAGTGAGCGCCAACAAAGTAAACTTGAATCTAAATTTTAAGTCTTTAAGAAAAGCATGAAATTTCTTTTTCCCAACTCCTGTACAATTCCATGAGCACACAAATATAAAAACAACAAAAGAAAAAATAGAGAACCACTTACAACAACCCTCAACTTCGGTAGCTATAGGTTCTTACACCCCCAAGCGCCAACAAGGCTTCATGAAAATTCTGTTCATTTTGATAATCAGAAACAAATTTCAACAAGGCAAGTGATACATCATCTTTACCTGAAATACCCATTTTTTTGTTGTCCACTGTTCTGTCAGCATCCGCAGGAAGAGCTTCTTTGTTTGTTTCTTTTTGACTCCTCACCTTGTAAGGCCCTCCCAGGACTGTCTTGGGAGACTAATTTTATTTTCCATTCTCCCATATTCCATGGCCCACAAGCCATAACCTTTGAATTTTTGGCGCTTTTAGAGCCCACTTTCCTCTTTCCATCCTTAACCACTGTTATCCTCTTATTATTTCCTTCTACTTTAGGGGTTAAAGTTGACTTTACCCCAACATCTCTCCGTTTGCCAGCTTCGCATAAAACTTTTTTACCTTCTTCCTTGTCAGTTTCAGAAGTAGCAGTCGCAGACTTGGGAATAACATCAGAGGCTTAATCAGTCTTTTTCCTACTTGTACCTCATACAGGGCTAGACTTATCAATAGCCACCTGTTTAGCTTCATTTTTCCTCACTAGAGATGTAGCCCTCGTCCCACTTCCATACCCTTGAATCGCTGAAGAAGAATTCAGTTTTCGCCCTTTTTGAGGTCTCTGAACCACCATCCAATTCATAAAGGCCTCCTCCTCCTTCTGACAACCTTCATATGTTTCTTGATTATTCGAAGCTTTAGTGGCTTAAGAGTTAGCTTTCTCCTCTTTCTATTGCCTCTAAGCCTGGTTTGCACCACAGTTGGCTTGCCTGTGACCATACATGCCGCAGTCGAAACAAATAAGATGCAAGCCTTTATAGCCTACATGAAGGTTCTGCTCCTAATCTTGAATTTATGAAGTTTTTATTCAGATCTACTTCTACGCAAATACGACAAACTTCGCTCTCTCTGTAACATCATCTTCCCCTATTTCATTTCTTCTTAGCGAATTTCTGTCAACTTTTAAGGCTCTACCGAATTTGTTTTCAATTTTCCAGAGGTGCTCAGCCATATAGAACTCTAAAGGTAAACCCGTAACTTTAATCCACACCACCAGCTTCTTAAAATTTTCATCATATGGGTCAAAAAATGGCCTCCGCCTTTGAAGCACTACATAGTGGTCTACTACTATCCAATGCCCTTCTTCCAGAACATGCCTATAGTCACAGTCCTCCTGGAATCGAAACAATATATACTCATTATCCAGATCTATCATTTCGTAGGAACCCATTAGATTCTATATTTTTTGAAGACACTACGAGGAATCTAATACCTATACGCTTTCCTAAAAGCTTAATAATCAAGGCCTTCCTCCATTGTTTACGGTCCTCTTTATGCTACTTCATAGAGAATTAGTAGGAAGGGCAAAGGGGGTCAGATGTTCCTTCCTGACCTAGTTCCTCAAGAAGTTCTTCTTCCTCCTTGCTATCTGAGGCTCCATCATCACCATTCAGTTGCAGCAGTTTGTCCTTATCGGAGACAACTTTACACCCCTGACCAGTACTAACCCCAGATGGGTCTTTAGATTGGGATTCAAGGGTTGCTTCAGGTGCCTCCCCCTTTTCTAGACCCACCATGGTCTCATCCATGGTAGCCTCCTCCGAAGCAGAGTCTTTGGGTTTAACCACACTTCGCTCTTTGACATCATCTTCCTCCTTAGATTTCTCTTTGCCAGTCCTCTCAATAGAACTTTTGATTTGGTAACTAATGATGCTGCTGGGAATTCATTATTATATGATCGACGTTTTCATGTTGCTTTTCTTCTTCCTTAGGACATTAACCTCCTTTTTTAAATTTATAATAATAATAATAATAATAATAAGCACCTTCAAAAAAATCAATTCTCCTAATCAATTAACTTAACAATAATATATCGTTGCTAATCATCATCAATCAAATCATAATATTTGAGATAATTGGCTCAATCTCATGTTAACTGGTTACTAAAGTCGTGATTTCCAGCAAAGTTTTTTTTTTCCTTTTATACATGTCATTTTTCCACACACATAAACGCCAATACCAATATATATATCATACAAATATAAATGAAATTGTTGTTAAAATCCTTTAATTAGCTATTGCAAAGATAGTTAATTTAGGTGGGACGGGGTGATGATTAAAACATGTAAAAATAATGAAGGACTACTTAATTAAATAGAAGGACTACGGATACCCCAAAAAAATAAAATAGATGGAGTACTTAATTTTATTTAATAAATAAATTATGCCTAATAAAATATTAATTGTTATTGTTGACCACCCACAAGTGGATGATAACTAGTCCCATAATATTCATCTAAAGATCGTTATTAACTAATCAAAGATGAATAATAGTTATTGACAACTAGAAGTGTGAAAAAAATTATGAGTTAAATTAAATCGAACCGCATCATAATATATTTTCTGACACAATTAAAGAAGTTGATTATTTGTTGTGTTGGTTTGGTTTAAAAAATTGATTCACTTTATGAATATGGATGGATTCGATATAAAAAATCAAATCAAACCAAAAACCGTACTAATTTCTAGAAATGCAAAAAAATACTACAATATAAATCGAACTAAATTATAAAAATAACTGAACCCAACTTGAAAAATTATATTTTTAAAATTAATTCCGGTTTAAGAATTAAACATTTTTTATAATATATTTCAATTTTTAAAATGACGTAGAAAATCGAGCCATAATATTGATAACAAATATTAGACGGTTGACTTTCATTGCTGAATAACTTTTTGTTCTATTCTTGTGATAGATATCCAATCTAGTAGAATTTATATGGGATGTGATATTTTCTCCAAAGTATCTATGAATTAGAATATCTTGAGATATTAGATCACTGCACATGGTATAAACGGCATTTGTCAAGGGGATAATATGTATGCAGCACAGTGAGTCAGTGACAACATAAAAGTATAGGAGAGAGATTCGTCATACTTGTAAGTTTTACCTTTGATTTATAAAATTTTACCTGTGGACAATATATAGAGTTCTGGGTCTTTGATGATCTGTCTATGGGCCCAATATCTGACTGTAGCTGTCATAATAGAATTGTCATTATTAGTAGGATTCATTCCTGTGATTGCCCCTTATTAGTAGGATTCATTCCTGTGTGATTGCCCCTTATTGGCCTTCAAATATATGGTTATTATATAGGTGGATAACACTTTTGTTAATCACATAAAAACATGAAAAACTAGAAAACTATTTTGCTAAAATTATTTTTGTCCTCCGCAAGATATTTCATACCTAAGAATGAATAGAAACTCAAGTGTGAGTTGAGTTGTAAATTAGATATGGATGAAAAAAATTTATATTAAAAGAATAAATAAAGTAAGAAAAATATAAATGAAATTAAAAGAACTCAAATGCAGTATCAAACCCACTAAAATTCCATATACTGAAATAGTATGTACTCTTAAAAAAAAATGTACTCGCGCTCCTTTCCATAAATTTTCTTTTATTTAAAAGAAAAGTTAAGATCCAAATCTAGCTTTTATACAGTGGACTGAAAAATCTGGTCGCCCAATCACCATTGAGAAAATCAAAATAATATTATTAGTCTATATACCATGTTGGCAATTGCAAGGAGAGTTGAGTGAGATCCAAGTATGCATGCTCAGTGAATGAATAGATTGATCTTGGAGCCCCCTCTCACACATGCATCGATTATGAGTTCGAGAACTCAAATAAATGATATAGCAAAACCTTACTCAATCCAGGATTCTAACCCACCTTAGAATCATTCAATATATATCACTAACCTATGATATCATGCAAACTATTTAAACTCTTCACCACTAGATCAATTTTAGTGTCTTCATTCAATATATATGTCTGATTAAATTAACTATATTATACTCTCCTCGACATCAATCATGAATTTCAATGAGTAGGCCAAAAATTTATCCCACGGTTTCGAAATGATAAAAGCAGGATCGCAAATTCGTTCAAATACAAGGAATGATGATTGGGTTATGTCAACACCAGGAAGATGCCACGAGTTTAAGCAATCATGACATGGGACCAATACATGTCACATCTATATATGTAAGGTTTCTAAACTTTTAATGAGAAATTCAAAATCAATAAAATATAATCAAGCATGGTTTTGCGCATCATGATGAAAAAGAAAGGTCTAAAATAAAATAGAAGAAAAGTGCAAGTCTTTTTCTTAATATTTCTTGCTTATACGAATTAAACTTCCTCTTCGCAAACTAGCTGAAATCCTCACGCCAAGGAAACCCTCTCTTGAGAAATTAAATAGCTGGCAATGGAGTATGACCATCCAACAAATACGTTGCAAAATAAATATCTACTTTCGCCCATGAACGCTACCCTTGTTTCCTTTCTATTTTTTTTTTCTTTTTATGTCTTCAACTTCAAAGAAAAAAAAAATTCACTTAATTATGTTTCTCTAATCAGATATGAATTTCACACATATTTCATGGGTCTGATTTGATACGTGAGTTCTTCGAGATCAATATTCGGTCCCTTTTTCATGTCATGCTAATTATAAAATACGATATATTCAGTAATAATGAGGGAAAAGAATATCTGAAAGAGTCAGCATGGGTGTATTTAACATTTTTTGATGTAACATGAGTGCAATTAACTTGAAGCTCTAGTTCAACTAATATTTAAAGAAACTGATTATGAGAGACGCATTACTGATGATGAGTCATATCGTATGCTCCAAAGCCATAAAACAGCAAATGAGAATGTCTAGAAGATGATAGTGAAAGTTAAGGACCTAAAATGAATTTTTGCCTTCTTGTGTGTGTTTTTAGAAGAAGTGAGTTAGCCCTGTTTAAATACTATTTCTAAAAACAGTTTTTCGGATTTCAAAACGTTTGATAATGTCTATTTTATTAAAAAAAGTTTTTTTGATTTTCAAAACAAAAATTAAAAAAACCCGTTTAATAAGACTTGTTTTATAAAAAAAATAAAAATAAATTGTAACTTTTTTTTGTTTTATTTTTAGAATCAAATTTAGAAAACATATTTAAGTTATTTTTGTTTTATGCTTTAATTTTTAATTTTTAAAACAAAAAAATACAAAAATCACTTGTTTCTATAACTACTTAATTTATAAGACGATTTAAAAAAAAATCAAAACACCATCAAATAGACAGTTAATCTTTTGAAAATCTAAAGAGTTTCCTTCATCACATATCTAAGCCAAAAATAAAAAAGTGTTTGATTAAATAAAAATAGTTTTTTAGTTTTCAGAACAAAAAAATAAAAAAACTCGTTTGTAAAGGCCTATTTTGTAAAAAAAAAATTAAAAACTGTAACTATTTTTTTGTTTATAGAATCAAATTTAGAAATGAATTGTTTTTATTTTCTGCTTTGATTTTTAACTTTCAAAACCAAAAAAACACAGAAAACAACTGTTTTTCATAATTATTCTACAAAACAGTTTTAAAAAAAAATTAAAAAAATCAAAACACAATCATCTACAGTATAAGATTCTGCTTTTTCTGCGGGCTATAGCAATATCAGATACAAGTTTGACTGTATAATACAAATAATAGATAACTTGACGTAAAAAAATAGCTCATTTTGTAAATATGCTTCCCACATATATTAACCAAATTTCTCAAAAGTTTAATTCTGACTCAACATGGTGAAGATCACAAGCATACCTTTTGTCTCCCGCAACTTCAGACAGCAAACTCAGATACTTCAGTGGCACAGATTAACATGTTTAAGAAATGTGATCATAGTCACGAACCATATATAGCTGTCATGTGCAAAACTAATTCTAACCAACAACAATACCAAGGATTCACTCCTCCTACCCTTACAATCTTTCACAAACCATATTGAATAAAGCAAGTTTTTTTTCCCCACTTTGTTGTCCTTTGCTTCATAAAATAAAAAAAGAGAGAAAATTGGCATACGATATATACCAAATTGGAATTGTGTCTACATCAGTTGTACTTGAGGCTGAGGAAGAAATGATGTTAATCACAGGATCAAGGAGCATTTTTCATAATAGTAGTAGCTTTAGTATAAAAGTAGTAGAAGAAATTAACGTTTAACCAACCATATCGAGGGGAAATTTTGAGCATTTATCATATGGATTATGAGAATAACAAGAAAAAAAGAAAAATAACATCAAGTATCAAATACTCTCCTTCTCTTTACTTACTTTATTCCACCTTGATGCATCTTAGAGAGAAATAAATAGAATAAAATTGTTTTTAGTCTGCAAATTTAACCAAAATAGGAAATATTATCACTTAAAAATCTGCTATAATTGGTGGGATCCCTCTGTTGGATGTACATGGAAGAAGAGGAAGAAGATGGAGGAAGAGGAGGAGGAGGAGGAGGCGGTGGTGGAGGTGGCGGCGGAGGCGGTGGAGCAGCAATTGAAACAGTCCCAGAGGAAGGGAGCATTGGAGCATGAGAGGAAGGTATCATGTTAGCTTCCCTGAGTTTGTATTTAAGTATTTCTGCCCTTACTGCATTAAGTTCAGCTTGTAAAGATTGAACTTGTTGTTGCAAAGAAGAAATTGCACCCATGCATCCATAGACAGGGTCTCTTAGCCTCACATTAGCCTCATAAACTAGACTATTTGCAGCATCGGCTCTCTGACACTCTGGTACCTCCTAAAACACATATCATGGCAGAAATTATTACTTTTTTTTTTTTTCTCCATAATCTTTATCCTTCACTTTATTTAAAATCCATTAGTTGAAATACATACGATATAACAATTAGCCAGTGTTAAATGTGTATAATATATAGATATATTTACCATTAGCATCTTTGAGACGTTGCTAGCACCAAAAACTTTGTGGACAGAAGCAAACTTTTGGGGTTCATGAGGAGAGAAATATGGAGAAAAAGGACATTCTTGGGCACATCTTCGTCTCAAAAGTTTACATGCTGCACAAGGGGTAATGGTATTTAGGGTTCCAGGAGGGCCCAACATATGTTTTCTCCCCATTTGAGAAGAAACATCTCCTTCCCTCTTGATCTTCTTCCCTATCTCATCAAATCTCTCCCTACAATATAAGCATGAAAGTTAATTATATTAGCAGACTCATTCACAACAAATTAATTATCTAATATATATATTTTTTTAATTAAGGGATAACAAAAAGGCTATTTGAACTTTGATGATCACCAAATTAATGAGTTCAGAAAAGGACTAAATTAGAACTATGTCATAGAGCATTCATATATATGCTATATATTGTTTGAAAAATAAGATTTGACATGATGGAAAAAGTTTCAAGCTAGGAAGTAGTAGAGACATATACATATATAAACGTATAAAGAAGATAGCTGAGACTTAAGAGATGGAGAAGAGATTTATGTGCTTTACCTTTCTCTGGACATTCAGGCATGCCCTTTGAGTATGAAGTAGGAGTCACTTGGGGGGAAAATAGAGAGAGAGAGAGAGAGAGAGAGAGGTGCTAGAGAAACCAGAAGGGAAGAAGAAAGGAAAATATGGGTAGAAAATGAGTGTGCTTAAAAGGCAAGGTATACAAGGACAAAACAGTCCAACTATATATATTTAATATATAAAAGAAATAGACAAAAAGGGTTTTATTATATATATAGTGAGAGAAATAGAAAGAAAGCTTGAGAGAAAAAAGTGATATTGGGAGAAGAAGTTAGTGGTTTTTGTTTGTTGCTGATGTTTAAAACCTCTCTGGTTTGTGTACGAGGATTTCATGAATTATAGACTAATACTAGAAAGCTGAATAGCTTATCACTCTGAGAAATAATTCATGGAGGAAGAGAGAGAAAGAGAAATGAGAGGGAAGAGAATATATTGTTAATGTTGTATAAATGCCAGCTCAATGAGTGCTTGCTCACGTGTGAGTTCTTAAATGTGTTTGACTTTCTTAATCAACTTTCTGATTTAGTTGCTGCCATGCATGTGGTTCTTGCTTCTTATTCAGGGAATGAGGGCAGCTGGACAATTGGCAATCTATTTAAGCTCATATATTATTTATAAATTGAGTATGTTTGTGTTAATATCATCTTATTGACGAGTGAAAATAACTTCATATATGTTGTTTATTCAAACATAAACCTTGTACTGCCACAATTGAAAATATTCGTATCTTGTCATCAAATTCAAAATAACCTAATTTAATTAAATGATGGTAGTTTAGTTGACGTCAATAAAATAAACATATGAGAGTAAGAGCATATGTTCTATGTTCGATCCTTCCCAGCAGTGGCGGAGCCACTTGGTGGCTAGCTGGTGGCTAGGTGGCTAGCATATGGGTAGATTTTGCTAATTGGATCTTTTGGCACTAGCTGGGTCTTTCCCCTGGCTCCGCCACTGTTCCCCAGTACCGTTTTTGGAAAGAATTTAAAGTTTTAATTCTAGGACTCACTTCAAATCAAACTAGTTACGAAAGGGTAAATCAATTAGAATATGTCTATTAAAAAAAACCAATTTGAGATCGGAATGCTATAGTTGGCGTCTAGCTTCTTTTGAAGAAAATCCTATGATCCATCCAATCACCGTTTTTTTTATCCTTGTAGACTAAGACTTTATTTGAAATTTGTTTTGAAAAATAGTTTTTTTACTTTTAAAATAATAAAAATTCGTTTGACAAAGCCTCTTTTGTAAAAACAAAAATTTAAAAATTATAACAATTTTTTGTTTTTAGAATCAAACTTAAAGAATATATTTGAATTATTTTTGTTTTGTATTTTAATTTTTAAATTTTAAAAAATATACAAAAACACTTATTTCATTGACTATTCTACGAACCAATTTTAAGAATAAAAAAAGCATAATACAATCAAACACATCCTAAGTCACTAACTTAATGACTCCGATAGAGTAGTCCTCAACATCCCCATATAGCCCTCAAAAGTACCCACGCCACATTCATAGTAATCATCAGGTAATTAAGAAACACAGACTTACTCATTCTTTTAGTTCATGATTATGAAATTGCTTCCAAACTTTTAAGCCATCTGAAAACGATTCCTCCTTATTTAATATTAATGTCACTGCAACAAGGAAAAAGATTGGACACCTTTCAAGATAAATTGATAATCTTTAGGAAAAAAATGACATTTGTCATTTTTGTGATGGATAATTGATGGATAGGGAGGGTATGGTGATTTGGGACATCTCACCCGAGCTTTCATACGAGAATCTAAGACAGTTGCTTGATTTCAACAATTATAATTTCGCATTTTAATTCCCTTGTAGATGACTAAGACAGTTAACTGCTTAACTATATTTGTCCTACACACAAAATGACTTATATTTTCCCTTGAAGCACACCCTAACTTAATACAAAGAAACCGAAAACTCACCTTTCAATTACACACATATGAGGTAAAGTCTATAATCATTCTAAATTGAGATCAAGTGAGATAGAAGAGTTAATACTCAGTTCACCTTATCACAGATTATGCAGAGATTAATTAGTACATGTCTCTCAAAATATAATGTGTGTTTAATTTGTTGGAATGAGACCTTATTAGGATTATCAATGACTTTATTTTTGGGCTAGGATTTTGAGAAGTGTTCTATCAAAGTGGGTGGTGAAAGAGAGGAGAGAAGGAGTGTATTTTGGAGGGGTAGTAGTATTAAATTACGTAAAAGGGAATGCTTAGAATCTAAGGGAATGGCACCATCCATTCTTGTTTGACCCGTATTTTGAGGCTTACAATTCGCCCCGCTGTCCTCTCACCCCCAACCTAACTTCACTATACTTAAAAATTCTTTCCTCTCTCTGTATGAATGCACCAAAACCCATAACCCACCACCACAACCATTTCTACAGTGCATTCAGATTGGCCAATTCGTGCATTGGTTGGGGGACTTGAGAGATTCTCTCTTACTTAAATGGTACTTAAAAATCAACCCTGAAAGAAAACTCTTGCATCATGCATTTCAAAGAAAAAAAAATTAAGTACTAATAATTAAGCCAACATAGAACATTCGTTTTAAAAATTCAAAACTTAAAAAGGGTCAACAATATATACGAAAATCTTGTAAAAGAACAATGGCCCTGACCTGACTCAACATATGAACTTCTTGCTTCTAGTGTCACTATCAAAAATTTGAGTCTGAGGACATTCCACTTGTGCCTTTTCTTTCTCTTCCTCTCTCTATTTTCTCGAGCGATGGGGCATGGAGAGGGATCAGTCAACTATTAAAAGGTGGATTTCACAAACTTTGATTTTATTTCTGAAGTTATTTTTCATCCTCAAATTTTCATGGTTGTTTTTGTCTACGTTTTAGGAAAATCACATGTGTATCTTAGAATAATACAGTTAAGGATATACGATCAGATTGGTTTAAGCGATACATGTTTAATTCTGGTTAAGTAATATTTTGAATTAAGTCCTTATGAATACAAATTCCTTTTGGCCATTTGGGAGATCTAGCCCCAAGATAATATAAATGTTCCCTGGTCGAATAGAATATAATTACCTCCCATATTTGTAATTTATCAAAAAAAAATAACAAAAACAAATAAATACCATCCAGTTTCCAAAACCAAAAAACGATATAAAATCTGTATATAATATCTGTTTTCACATTCAGGAAATATTTAACATTGACTAATATATCAATGAGCTGGATTTTCCTTGAGTCATGAATTTTAAGAGAAATAAAAAATAAAATGAGTCCTACAGTTTTAAATGCACAGCAAGAATTCGAAACTCAATAAAAACCCATTGAAAATTGTCACCCCTATAATGGTCCAACATCACTTGAACCAACGGGTAATAGATAAACTAGTAGGTATATAAAAAAAAGGGAAATTCAATGGAACATCGACAAGTATGCCACTGTTATGAATAGTATTTATCTGTATGCTACGTTCCAATCTAATTTTGCCAAAATGCCACGTCACATTCTCGCTACGCCAACAAGCTAGAATGGACTGGACACGTGGCAGCGTCTGCATGGGTAGTCATTCTCGCTGAAATGTATAGTGAGAATGGTTGGTCAATATGACAAACTGCCACATCTGCAAAAGCATTCCAGGTTGCTAATCTCGCTGGACTGCTCAGCGAGAATGCCTGTACTTTTGCCATGTGTCAGCACCTTGCCGTTCTCGCTGGGCTGCTGAGCGAGAATGGCTGTCCATGCAGACGTTGCCACGTGTCCAGTTCATTCTCGCTTGTTGGAGTAACCAGAATGTGACGTGGTATTTTGACAAAATTTGATTGGAACATGGCATACAAGTAAATACTATTCATAAGAGTGGCATACTGGTCAATGTCTCAAAATCAATCACCCTGTTGCAGGAAATTGATTTCTCGTCTCGCAGATACTTCAAAAGTCGTGAAACCATTTTATTTTTTTGTTTATTTATTTAAAATGGTGGAACCCACAACTGTTGTATCTGTAGCATGACAAGAAATATGTCCTATGACATGACAAATACAAAGCCCTAAAAAAACTCACTAAAAACATTTAGCCAGGTCAAACCAATATCTAATTGGAATTAGTTCTATGTTCAAAAAGTGTAAAGCCTATAAACGCATTACAATTTTAAACAAAGTTACAGAAATATTAACTACACTTTTTTTATACATCAAAAGGATGAAAAACAAACAGAAGAAAATGCACAAATTAAACAAATAGAAAATTGAAGACAAAAGATTTTCCATTTCCTTCCTCGGATGGCAAACTCTAGCAGTGTCCGCATGGAGCAGAAGCTATAAAGGTTTAGGAGGATTCGCAAAAATAATATCATTCGTTATTGAAGCATTCTAAAGTGGAAGAGTATCAAGATAATTAGCACAAAAGTTGGCTTCACGGTATGCATGAACAAGCAAAATCTGTCAATCCTGATCTAAGAGTGCTCGTATCCGAGTCAATAAACGAGACTCACAAGCTGTTGCACCCCGTCTGGTGAGCAAGGCGACCACCAAAGTGAAGTCGCTTTCAAGAATCAATCGATGCCAACCTCTCTGCCAAGCAATATTAAGGCCATGCCAAACTCCCTAAAGCTCTGCTGAAAAAGCATTACAAATGCCAATATGAAAAGAAAGACCACCAAGCCAAGCACCCTAGTGATTCCTAAATAAGCCACCACATGTTACAGCACCAGGAGATCCCCTTGCAGCCCCATCCGTGTTTAATTTGATAAAACCTAAGGAAGGAAACTCCCAACGAACAATGCATCCATAGGACAATCAACTTCGTAGTCACAATTTCATAATGACCGTACATTGACTAAAAATTTTAGAAGGAGAATGAGGTAGAGAAGGTGCAAACACATTGGAATGAGCTCTCCAAAGCCAAATCTGATAAATAACAACTACAAATAATGTATTCCAATTTTGAACGTGCAATTTATCCAAGAACCAGAACTCATGCAACTGATAAAATAAGTCTCCCGAGAAAAAATCATCCTCCTTATCCAAAGGAACAAATTCACACCAAATCTCCCGAATCACTTCACAATCCCGGA